TGGCACCAACAACCATGCCACGCTCAAAATTGCTTAAATCACCTTTCTTTCCCATTCTGACATTCAGTTTGGAGTTCAGGAGACTCTCTTGACCAGCACCAAACCCCTAAATGCATTGAAGCAACTACTATGTGACTGGTTGATTAGATAATTGCATTAATGAGAAATTGAACAGGTGTTCCTAATAATCCTTTAGGTGAGTGTATATCGGTAGCTTTATAAACTGAACAACACTACTTTTCGCCCTTCCATAGAACAGTCTCTGATTGGCAGGGTACTGTTAAACCTAGCGACAATGCGAATCTAAAAAAAAAAAAGAAAAGAAAAAAAAAGCGTCTTTGCTCACCACCCCTTCACCCACTCCGTACAACCGCGGTGAAGTTGGTTTTATGTTCGATATTCGCTACATTTACTGACATCTAAGCAGGGGCGCCGCCAGGGGGGGAAAGGTTAGAACGAATCTAGGGGCCCAGCACTGACATGGGGCCCTGTTAGGGGCTTTACCTTTTCGCAAAAAAGTGGGGGGGGCAAAATTCGAATCTTTCATGGGGCCCAAGATTTCTGGCGGTGCCCCTGCATCTAAACTGCAATATCTTTGGGATCATGACGGCAATTCTTTTCAGATTAGGCTCTACATATGAAGTTAAACGAGGGAAATATTTCACACTGTAAGTTAGCTCCACATTCTCCAGCAATATGAATTAAAAATACAAAGCAAGATGGGAATATCCTTCTGCTGACACAAAACTGCCGGAAAATTTAGGGACCATCTTGAAAGTGCAATGCCAATTAGCATAACACCACTTGTACAGTATGTGTCCTATAACCGTCTATCAATATTGCCGTTGGTTAAATTGTAATACCTCCTTCATTTCAACATCAAACCAAATTCAGTGTGTTCCTCTGGCCCTCTCCCATCTTTCACAAGATATGAGGAAATTTTCACACCCATCTATTTTCCAGAACACCAGCTCTGGTGTTCTGGGGACTAAGGTGGGGCGTTTTTGACAGAATTGTGATGTCTAGTACACAGACATTGATGCACACCGATTATTTTTCCACTTCAAAACATGTCGTGATTTGTGCCAAATCATGTTAATAGCTAATATAATAGGTCCTTTCAGCTGTAATGACATGGTGGTTTAGTATTTTGGGCTCATGGCGACTGTTGCACACCCCTTTGTTTCCCAGATTGCTTTACATACGAATTTTAATACATTTTTGAATGTTCGAATGTATCCGTATACTGTGCAATGGGACAATACATGAATGGGTAATTAATTATTAATAACTTTAAAACTAGACAAGACAAGCACATCTAGTGAAGTGTGCTTTGATCAGTGGACAACAGGGAACAATGCACACCCCTTGGGTTTTCACAATAACTTTCTCTGTAATAGTTATTAATTAATACATTGCATGCATATTATATGCCATTGCTCCATTTCATACATATTAACAGACAGAGCCCCTCACGATTCACGCGCCAATGTCGTACGGATCATCCAGGTACGCAGGTGTTATGCCGAAAAAGTCATCCCTGCCGTAGAATGCATGCCTGTCTCTAAATGACCGATAGGTCGCTGATCTGAAACAAGTTGAGCTACTTTGTCGAGTTAGGCTACCGTAGTGCTAATCGATATTCCTAACCCTAACCCTAATCCCCAAAAACCCATAAAATCCTAACCCTAACCCCCAAAACACCCCTAAAACCCTAACCCTAACCCCCAAAACACCCCTAAAACCCTAACCCTAACCCTTAAATACTTGTCGTATTTAAAACTGAAGCAATACTTTCATTTTTCCATCTTATTCTCACATTACTGTTTTAGTTGTTAAAGCAGCGTTAAACGACAATCAAATATTTGTGTGCAACAAATCCCACGATGCGATGAACCAGTAGAACGGAACTACATACATCTGTGATGTGTCCTACATATATACAACCGGCTCCACTGCAGACGATCGCTATCGGATGTTTTTATAGTCCACGCCCACTCCGTAGTAATTAGTTTGAGATGGACTTGCAGAACCCTCCACGTGCACGCGCAAATGAAGTTTTAATTAGTGGCTAGGGCGAGAGTGTAGGGCAGGGGTGTCAAACTCATTTTAGGGTGAGGGCCGGATGAGAAGAAAATGTGACCATGTGCGGGCCGAATTTATTATTATTTTTTTT